CTTATATCATTAAAACTTATAAATCTCTAATCATGTGATAACGTCATAATACATGCTTGGACTATTGATGAGACCTTGGTTCCTTAGCTTGTGCTATGACTTCATTATTCTCATAGTACAATATTATTGGATTAATGATGCTAGGAACAACTTTTAGTCTAGACAAAAATTTATGAATCTAGATAACTTTTTTAGTCAGCTTCTACGATGTAATATATTTAGCCTCAATTGTTAAGTTAGCTACTATTTTTTGCTTGGAACTTTTCTAGCTAAAACACCACTAATTAATAGGAAAATCAATCTTGACTATGATTTAAGTAATCATAGTCAATTTGAAAACTAACATCTATGAACCCTTTCACAACTAGTTCATCTCCTTCATATATTAAGAAGACATCCTTAGTTCTTATCAAGTACTTTAGAATGCTTTTTACGTAAATTTGCATACATTAAACGGCATTTAGATCCGAACAAGCCCTATAATTTGTCTCAATTTGGACTCGAATGTTCGAGAGCATCGTATGACTCATGATTTGATTCCTTAGCCCAAATTTAGTTTTCAAAACATTACAAAATACCCAAATCCTAGAATTAAAATTAGAAAAAAATAATTCATAAAGTTAATCATAATTAGCATAACATATAATTAAAGATTCAATTGAGTTTTTGATATCAATTGAAAGGATCATGCATCCTATAGAGGTGTGAAATAAATAAAAATTTTCTCCATCTAGAGTTTCCAATATCTCATCATTGAATCAACTAATCATATATAAACATGAATATGAATATAGGTGAATGATTACCTCTTATAGTATAGAAACAACTCAACATGTAAGTGAATCGTCCTAGTGGCTAAACTCTATTGACTATCCATGCACCTCAAACACCCACATAACAAGCTATAAAAATCATAGACTATTAGCTTCAATCCTTCCGTGTAGTTAATTTTTCTCTAAAATTCCTATAGGGTAAATTGTGTCGATTTTTGGCCTTTTTAGGGAGAGATGCGACAAGTGATTATTTTAGGAGAAAAACACTTTTACTCTTTTTCTTTTCTATTTTTAAGACTTTTCTTTTTCTTGTTTTCTATTGCTGCCTCTCTACCTCTCCTATATATAAGGGATGTCAACTTCTCATTGTACGTCAAGGAGATATTACTTATGAGGGCTTTGTCTAATCTCATTCTCATAAACCCTAAGCCTTATTTAATAGTACTTAAGTTTATCCCTCCACAAAAATACCTTGTAGGCTTTTACATTAAACTTATTGGCTCAAATTCTTTTAGCCTAATTAATTACCTATTTATTTAGAGCATCCAAATAAATTAGGTTAGATATGTTTTAGGAGGCCGACATTCCAAAATTACTATTAAACCTAAATTAGGAAACTATTTTTCCTTTTAGGTAACTAACTTTGAAATTTAGAACTAACTTTCAAATTAGAAAATTGATTTCTAAAATAGAAAAATTTTCATTTTAGAAAACTTTTCCGAAACAAGAAACATTCCAAAATAGGAAACATTTTCCAAACCAGGAAAATTTATATTTTAGGAAACTATTTAAAAAATAAGAAACTTTCCAAACAAGAAACCTTTTCCAAAATCATTGCTTCTCTTTTATCATGTGAATATTTAAACTTATGAATATGACTTAATAGGCTTCTAGATTTGTTAGCAATGTATCAAGAATAAAAACATCTCATTATCCTCTCGATACATAAATCAACATTGACCTATAGTAAGATATCATGACTACCCTATTCTCTAGGAGGATTAATTAATTCATAATTACCTTTTACGAGCATGATTACTAATTAATTCATTCCTCATGTCAATTTATTGCATTGTGATCATGAGCTTTGTTTATAATCTATTTGATTATGATCGCATAAGTTTTCTTCAATCTTCAAATGTATTAGCTCTAAGGTAAACCCGCTATGCTTTATTGGTATACTTTCGTTGTGGTCACGCATTTCTTGAGCGGGCATTCATCGAAGTGCAACATGATAACTCTTTTACAATTTAAGAAATTACATGTCTTATGTCAATCATCTATCTATGTCCATTAGATTCCTAGTGCACCCAATGAATCGCCCATATATAAATCTTTATTGAGCCCATCGAAATGAATGTCAAAGTACATAAATCCTTTAATGAAATAACCATGTTGACTTCAAGTCAAAAGACCATTTCTACTCATCTTGTTCGAGATTCCCATAGACTATACCAAATGGGTTCTCTAAGTGATCAATTTTAATGACATGTTCTCTTACATTTATCACTTGAGTATTTTCTTTTGCATCACCATGTCAATAGGTATGAGATCTCGTATCTGCTATCTTATAGTAAGAGCATAGCACTCACAAGTCTTATAACTTATTATCATTTAGATACATTCATATTTGTCTTACATCTTTTAATTAATCATTAATACAATAAATATATATGGAGTTCTATCTAATTCTATGAAATTATAAATAAAAAGAATTAATATAAAGACTTCTTTTATTTATATTGAAATGCAATATCATAATACACCAAACCATCTAAATAAGATTGAATCTTGGACACCTACACTAGCAAAATCTATATATTTATTTACTTATTTGCCTATCATTTTCTCTCCCTTCTTTTCTCTTTTCCTCTTTTTTTCCACCATTTTTTTTAATCATTTCTCTTCTTTTTTAATAATTTTTTCTTTCTTTTTTATCATTTTTATTATTTTACTATTTTTTATCATTTTCTTTCTTTTTTAAAATGTTTTTTGTTGGTAAGAAATCGTTATTAGTCATTAAAAATTAGGAGACTTGACGATTCGTCCACATATTAATTACCTAATCTAATTATTGAAATAAAAATTAAAAATTAAAAATTGGACTAAGTAAATAAGTAAATGTTAAAAAAAAAAACTCAACAATTCAAAATATTAAACCTAAACTAGGCATAAAAAAAAAAAAGCATTTATTGAAAATAAATTTAGGATTGATTTACCTAGAAAATTGGCTAAAACCAAGTGTTAATGGACCCTTTTAGGCCATTAGGTCTTTGACCCATTAGGATGGCCTATCATCTCTAACGTAAGCTAGGCTAGGTGTAGACTAAGCCTAGTCACATGTGGGCTAGGCCAAAGCCTAGCCCAATATGACTCCATATGGGCTGGGCTCTCTCTATTCTTTCACTTCACAGCTAGCCCCCAAAATAGAAGATCGAAAACATCAAACAACCCTAAGTAGTTCATCTTCTTACCAATTCTACTTCTTCCTCAAATCAATTCTCCATACTTAAACCCATAACCAAAATCATACAATGTCTTCTCCTTCCTTTTCCCCAATAAACCATAAATGACCTCTTCTTTTATTTTTCTTTAGTTTTCAAACAAACAAATCCCTCACCAAAATATTCTAATCTCTTCTCCTTTTGTCCAAAAAAGAAAAAAAAAGCTTTATCTTGTTCCTCGGCCTTATCCTCCTCCCATGTCAAACCTAAAATCAAATAGACTACCTTTCTCACTAAATCGAACCATTTCAAGCCATCAACCTTTCCTATCCTTCACCCGAAAATTTGAAACACATAAAGGGGTTTTAGGTTAGTGGGAGGATTGCATGATGATAGTGATGAAATCACTGTCACACTTTTTTTTTTTGACACATTAACAAGTAAATGAAAGGATCAAAGGTGCTTACTTTCATGTTTGATTGGGATGAGTGATTGGTGAAAGTGAGTAGCTAGTTAAGGTTTCTTCCTTTTTCATTCAATTAAAGCCCAAGAAAACCTAGTGCTTATGCATCAATCCTAGAGCCAAATGAAATCCCTAAATCCTTTTCTAAAGACCAATAAAAACCCTAAAGTTTTCCTTCCCGAAACCTAAAAGATCCTCAACCTAAAATTCTCTATGTACCTCCAAAACCCATCCTAATTTATTTTTTACATTTTACAAACTCATATTCCTCTAATGAAAAAAAAAAAAGAAATATTCTTACTTTTGAAACCCACAAAACCCAGAATAACTCATCTTTGTCCAAAAGCTAAACGTGTTCAATTCTTAAAATTTCTCTTCCTTCAACCCAAAAATTTACCCTTTATTTATACCCAAAACCAAACTTCATTCTACCATTGGATTCAATCTAATTAAATCATAGCCCTTCTTATTATCTCCCAAATGGAGCTACTACTGGTTTATGCTTTTTATGCATAAAGCCAAAATAATGCAATTATTGTTGTTGTGAATGTGTGCGTACATACGAGTTAGTGCAAATGGTGCAATGGTGGTGCGTTGTAATTCTTTGCTAGCACTACTACCTAAGAATCATTTGCTTTGCTAAACATATTGTCTTTATTGAAGATGATGATTTGTACTAGGGAAGGGGAAGTGTTTTTTCGAGGAATGGATGATGGGTCATTCAAATAACTTTTGGATGGGTCTTATTGTTTACTCATTTCTTTAATTTTCATCCACGTATGTTTTATTTCTTCCTCAATTATTTTTCCTCAAATATGTTATTTTGGTCATCGGTTACTTTAATTTTTGCAATTGTATCCTTCCATCTTTCAATTTCAATTATAAGACTTTTAATTGTTCAATTATATCCCTATTTACTCTAATTTTATTCTGTTTTGATTCAATTATGCTCGTAACAAAATTTTTGCTATTTTTGTATTTTTCTTTTTTTTTTCATAGTTGTTAGCACCCAATTTTTTTTTCAAAAAGAAAAGGAGAAAAAAAAGGAAAAAGAAAAGGAAAAAAAGAAGAAAAAGAAAAGGAAGTGAAATAATAATAATAAATTAGGGGGTGTAATTGAAAAAAGAAAGGAGAAAAGAACTAAAATAAAGTGGGTTTGTAAAATGAGGGACCAAAACAGATTTTAGCTAAAAAAAAATCCTAAAAACCTAGTATAAAAACACCCATTTTCTCCCAAAAAAGGGGCAACTACTGTTCACCCCCTTACAAAAGAACCCTAACCGATAGCAGCCCTCTCTTCCACCCTACACCGGCAGCCATCTAAGCCCCTCTCTCCATGCCACCACGCCAACGACCATTTCCTCTAAGCACACCTCTCGAACACAGCCTCTCCTCCCCTACAGCCTCTACCACCACACTAACAACCTCCTTCATACCCACAAAGCGGCGCGCATGCACGCCACAACCCTCACGAGTCTTGGTGCATGCCTCTCGAACATAAGGCCGGATCTAACTTCGAGACTACCAACCGAATTGGTCCAACTCATTTTCTTTACGAGTAATTTTTTTCACGTTTTCTTTTATTTTATTTTATTTTTTATTTTAACATGTATTAAATTTGATTTATGTTTATATGTGTTATGTAATTAATTAAATGCTTGTGTTATGTAATAATTTGATACATTGTTCATGTATTATTTGTTTGCTTTGTGGTGATGCATGTTGTTACTCTTGTGATTTGATGAATGACGCATTGGTTTGAATACTTAGATTACGTATATGTATATTTTTGAAAAAAATGCGTGGAAGTTTTCATAAAAAAAAACACAACATCGAATCACATAAGTTTAGATCTTGTCATGTAAAATCTGTTTTCATCAAATATAATCAATTAACAAGGTCGAACGACTAGTTTCGTTAATTTTTGTTTTTTCGATCGATTTTAGTTCGATTGCCAACTTCGTCGATTTTAGCCTATTTTTTGCCGAAGTGGCCAATTTTAGCTTATTTTTGCCTAAGTCGCCAATTTTTGCTTATTTTTTGCCTACGTCGTCGATTTTAACCTATTTTTGCCTAAGCTATCGATTTTAGCTTGTTTTTGCCTAAGCCGCCGATTTTTCCTTATTTTTGCCTAAGCCACTAATTTTTACTTATTTTTGCCTAAACTATAGATTTTTGCCTAAGCTATTGATTTTAGACTCGTTGTTGTTGATTTCAACCTATTTTTGCCTAAGCTCGTCGATGATTTTTGCCTATGATCGCCAAAGTTGTCAACTTTTATTGTTTTTTGCTTAAATTGTCGACTTTGCCTATGATTGTCTAAATTGTCGACTTTTGCCTATGTTCACGTAAAGTTGCTAATTTTTTGCCTAATCCCCAATTTTTGTCTAAGCATTAATTTTCGTTGATTTAGCCAAATTTATCATTATTTGTCCGTTTACCCATATAGCTAAGTATGCCTATTTTTGCCTATTTTTGTCAATTTTTATCCATTTAATTTTATCTATTTTGTTGTCCTTGCGTCATCATTTTTAGCCATCCATTATAGAGTGAGGAAGAGATCTTTGATCGATGAAGTCCCGAATCACTCGAGTAGGGGGTTTTTTAATGAAAAATCAAAAATCAAACTAATGTTACATGTGATGCGGCTTGCCTTAGGTAAGATGGGGTAGGGTGACTTTTGATCTTCCCCGCACGTAATAAACCCCTTACCCAAAACTTTGAATGGACCGAGTCACTAGGTTTTCTAGTAACCGTAATACTAGGTGGCGAGTCCAACATTTTTCTTATGTTCACCTCACCGCCGACGTCGACCTACGACGGAATGACGACTCCACTCGGGGACTAATACTTAGGGTTAGGCTTTGCATACAATTTTGAGTGTGATTTCTAATGATGTGATGGATTCTCTTATGCTTGTTAACCTATTTCCGTAATTTTTCTATCGTGTTTAAATTCATGCCTCTATTTTATTGCTCGCATTAAATTTTTCATTTTATTTTATTTATTTAATTATTTATTTATTTTTCTCAATTCTTACTTATTTTGGTTTAGATGTTTTCTTTTCTCGTTTGTACCTTTATTTTATTTTTGTTTCTAGTTGAGACTCGGATATGGAATAATGCCTATGTACACATCACACTCGTATAACTTTAATGGCATCTCGCATTCACCTTACAATCTAGGGAGGAATTACCGATGCCCTAGTGGGTTTCACCTTGGGTAACACTCACGAAACCTCAACTCTTTTGGAAAGATGCCATTATCGCGATAGGTATTCGACGGTCTCCATAATTACCGGCTTCGCACTTGGTCGGCCTCGCTTCTCCTAGGCCAAAAGGAACCCTTTGAGACCGAGATAGATCCTACCCAATCATGTAATGGCTAAAATCGAACCCTAGGATCACCTTTCCCGCATAAGTTCACTAGGCAAGTCGGATATGTCAAAACCTTAACTAAACAATCCGGTCTTGATGTTTTAGGATGGGTAACAAGAGAACTTAGGTCCAAACTCACTTGGTGGTCGAATTCAACAAAATTTCGAGGCTTTACAACAAACGAAGGGAGATTGCTTAGGAATGGAATTTCAAAGCAACTATAGGGAGATCACACACTTTCAATCAATAATCAATGACACTCAAAAGCCACTTAATTGTTAGAAGATACTAAACCCCGACAACTAGTACAAGTTTCGAGCTAAATATGGAAATCTCATAGTGTTGCTAGAGGTGCCGGTTCAAAAGTCTACTCTCAAGGCCTTAGCCCACCCGTGGGACCCTTCATACGGATGTTTCACCATAAGAGAACTAGACATGAGCCCAACCTTAGAAGAGTATCATCGCCTTCTAAACATGTCGAGCACTCTATATTGGGTATATCCGTATCGAAGAAGATCGAATGTTGAGAAAAGGGTAGAGGATTGGCTAGACATAAGCATGAGTTATGGTAAAGCTAAAGGGAATGTCGAGGGTTGTCACTTTGAGAGCTGATTGGAAGTGTTCAAACAAAAACTAAAAGACCTAAGAGCTACCTCTAAACGGATCAAGGTTCTAGCACTTACGATCTTTGGGTTAGTGCTTTTTCCCTCATCGGTCGGTTTAATCGGCCTAAATGTGGTCAATGTCTTTATCGAGGTAGAGAAACATTTCATAAATTCTACTACTCGTCATTCTAGCTAAAACCTTCTCCTTATTAAGTCACTATAAGAGGTCTAGGAAAGGGAGTATGAAATGTTACGTTCGAATCGCTTTTTATATAGGCAATTAGCCATTTTAAAGCCCATAAATCGATTTTCAAGACATGCTAATGGACTCGATCAAGAACCATTGAAAGATTTCCCACCTAACAAATGGAACAACAAGTCTAAATGGAAGTGGTTCTCATCATTTTTTAGCTTGTCGACTAGAGGTTTTCTATGAAAGACAGTTTGGATGAATCGAAGAGCATACATAGCTTCATCGTGGAGCATGACCTTGGGCTCCTCTAATAGGAGCTATTGGATATAATTGTTATGCTCCCTCTATGGTATCAAGACAATTGGGCTATGAACGGGATATCCCCGGAACTCGTGGGCCTAAATTGATTTGAAGGCTCGAGAAGGATACCACTCTTGAATTCCTCAACTAGGTTCTACAAGATTGGTTGACTCTAGGAATAGTGGGTAGAGGAACAATTGATCATGAATTAGTAGTAACCGAGAAATACCCCACGTGGTAGGAAAACAGCGTGAAAGACTACAAACATTTGGCCGACTCGACCAAGCCATAGGAAATGGATGTCCAAACCGACCTATCAAAGGGAGTGAGTTGGTAACACCACAAGATTCGAGTGTTGTGCCTAGCCAGCTTTAAAAGAAAAAAGAGGAGAATGGAGGACTCCATAAAATTAGTCCCTATTGATTGTTAGGATCTCCCCAAAGAAATCGAGAGGCTCAAGACCGAGAATCGACACCGGCAAGTGATCCGGCCAAGGAAAAAAGGATGAGAAGGAAAGATAAAGAAAAGATACTAAACTTGGAGCAAGATTTAGAGGCTTGGCAAAGTCTAGATGTCAAAGAGGAATACTGAAAATCGAACCGTCATCAAACTCAAACAGAACTAAAGACCAAATGTGCTGAATTGGATATGTTGTAATCATAAGACAAGTGAGTTGAGCATGAGTTAAAAAATTTAGGGGTAGAAATACGGAGGCTTAAAGAAGGTAATGAGAATTGGCAACTGTCTTTAAACACCGAATGTAGGCGTCGATGAAATTCAATGGAGCAAGTAGGAGAGGCACAAAGCCAAATCATAGCACTCAGAAGGAGAATCGACATCTAGAATGAGAGTTAATTAAGTCGTCCTCATACGGGACCACCATACATAACCATTTAGCTCAAGTCGACACTATACAAGGTAAAAAAATTAGTTATGCTAGACAATCAAGCAAAAAAGGTCTCTAAGGAAGCTATAACACTTCGAGAGCTATGCTTGGCTATCAATGAACGTAGGGTGAAAAATCATAATGAATCCGTGATCGATAACGCCATTGTATTTTAACTTTTAGTATAAGTTACCCTTGACAACGAGGCCATCACATTTTAGGGCAAGTCTGTCCTTAACAACAAGACATCGTATTTTATTTTTTAGGATAGGTAGCCCTTGATAATAAGACCATTGTGATTTAGTTGTTCAAAGTAGGTTACCCAAGATAATCAAACTATTTTTGCCACTTGGTTTACTTTTTTATTTATAAGCTCACTAAGTTAACCTAATCTAAAGTTCACATTTCACTTGGCATTTGTATCGTAAACATTGTAAAGAGTAGGGCACTTATCATAATTCGAATTTGGATTATGATAGTTGCCCCCCCCTCTTTATTTATTTTTTATTTTTTTGGCATTTTTCATTTTTATTTTATTTATTTACTTTTATTCTCTTTATTTTTATATTTATTTTGATCTATTTTTATTATTATTCATTTTTATGTTTAATTTTAGGAATTATCCTTTATTTTTGAATAAAAATGGGGGTTTTTATTACATAATTAGTTTGTCAAAACAAAAAAATGAAAATATAAAAACAAAAAAAACTTACAAAAAAAAACCATAAAAAACCTTGCATGAAATGATTTATTAGGGGTACAATTGAAGGGAATAAGGATTGAAATAAAAAAACAACTAGATTGGAAATTGAAATTCAATTAGGGATGAAATTAAACAAAATATGGGCACAATTGAATGAAATCAGCACTCGAAATTGAAAGCCAATAGGGATACAATCAAAAGGAAAATCAAGATTGCAATTATAGAAAATTGAAACACCTAGGGACCAAATTAAAATTAAAGAGCAAATGATAAACCAAAGTTGACTCGGTGACCTATCATTCGTTGCAACTAAAATTTAACTTATAGATGTTGTTCATCATTTTCTTTGAAGACAAATCCTTTAATGTCCGGTTTTATGATTCTTGATTGGCAATCGTACCATCCAAGAATCTTGCTTCAACCATTATACCACCTTTAATTAGCA